AAAAAAAAAAAAAGCTAGGAATGAGCAAGCAAGTGAATAAATGAATGATTGATTGAATGAATGAATGAACGAACATGTAAGCGAATGAATGAATGTGTGAGTGAGTGAATGAGTGAGATAGTGAGGGAGTGAATGAGAATGACTCAGTGAGGGAATGAATGAGGAAGCGAATGAGTGAGTGAGGGAATGACTGAATGAGTGAGGTAGTGAATGAGTGGGTAAGGGAATGAAGGAGTGAGTGACTCAGTAAGAGAATGAGTGAGTGAGGCAATGAGTTGCCCTGACCGCCCCCAGGCTGCTTACCGGACCTCAGACCTGGAAAAGCCCAGCTCCACCTTACCCACAACCAGCAGAAGTGAGAACTGGTCCCAAATGCTGTGCAGTAACTTCTCCCAGCACCGCCTCACCTGGGGTGGCCGAGGCCACGCCTCCCTCTTCTCAGGACACAAAGTTGCACTGTTCATGGCCAAAGCAGGGCCCCTGGCAGGGTGGCTGACCAACGTGAGGCCTGCTCAGGGCAGGGGCAGCAGGGCCAGGCTGTGCCCTGAGGGGTGGGGGTAGTACCTCACTGGAGACTCCTCTGCCCTAGAGGGGCCCAGGGTGCCCCTTAGATAGGATGTCCTAGTGTACAATCCCAAGGGGTGGGTGATGAGCCTGTCAGAGCACCCAGACCCAGCACTGGCCTCAGACAGGTCCGGCTGAAGGAGCACAGGCTCCACCCCATCAGGAGTGGGTGGGGTGCAGGCACCCCTTGCCTGTGGGGTTTTTGCTGACGTAGCTGCAGAAGAGGAGGGCCAGGCAGACCACAGCTCAGACACTTTATGGAACAACTTCAAAGCTTCAAATACTTTGCATGAAGTGCCCGTCAGAGAGCCCAGACCCAGCACTGGCCCCAGACAGGTCCAGCTGATTCTTTCCCTAAAGAATCATCCTTAGATACCTATTCCCTAAGCCCCCAAACCAGAGCAGAGCCCCTAAAGCTGCAACTGCCTAGGGGGCTGGTGAGTGGGCAGAGGCTTTGTGCTGAAGGATTCCTCCTCAGGACAGCCCTGTGGAGGATGGCCCTGCATCTGGGGGTCACCCTGTTCCCTATGAGCCCCCCTTAAGCTGTATCTGGCAGCGCCCACACCAGGGTGGGAACACGGCCCCTCACAGCCCCCCCTGGGGTGGGGCTAGCTGTTGCCCCAGTCCCACAAGGGCCAGGCTGTGGCAAGCCCCTCAGCCCAGAGCCTTGGTGCTCCCACCACAGCTGAAGGCAGGACTGGAGCCCTGGAGGCCCCCCACTCCCCTGCCCAGGCCTTTTAGGGAGGACCCACCAGGCATGTTGAGAGGGAGGGTTTTCCCTGCTGGGAAGGTCCCTGCCTTTGGCAATTTCAGGCCTGTGACCTCTCTGGCCCTGTGACATCAGAGGTCACACCACCCAGAAGGAAGAAGGTGGATGAGGGAGAAGGAGCCCTGCGGAGTAGCACCTCAGCTGGCTGTGCACGTAGCAGATGGTTTGCGTGTACATGTGGGTATGTGCACACACGTGTGATTGCATACAGTGGGAGAGGGAGGCTGGGCACTCTGGGCCCTGTGGCTGCCCAGAATAGGCTCCTGGTGGTTTGAGGTTCCAAGGCTGTGGCTAAGCCAGGCCTGGCTGTGCAGGGACATTCCCCACTACTGGGCTCTACAGGAATCCCCCACCTATTGGTCACTCAGGATTCCACACCAAGGTCCCAGTGCAGGGCCTGAGAATGATGGACAGGCTCTCCCTGGCCTTCAGCCCCAGCCTCTGAGAGGCCTCTCGTGTCCAGCATTAGGTTTCTGCTAGCAACCTGCTAGCAGAAGGCTCAGGCTCAGTCACTCCCATAATTGCTGTGGGTGATTCATGCCTCTCCAGGGGCCATCACATCTGAGTTCCAAATGCTGTGCAGCAACTTCTCCCAGCACTGCCTCACCTGGGGTGATGCTGTGGCACCAGATGACCAGGTCAGGGGAGGCCAGCTCTCAGCTGCCACTTAGAGACAAGTTCTAAGTGCCCTGGGCAAAGCCAGAACTGTCCAGGCCTCTCAGGGCCTGCTTCCCCTGGCCCTGGCTTTAGCTCAATCCCCTTAGCCAGCAAAAGAGATGTTAGGGGCTTTGACTTGTACATGCACTGGGTGGCAGCTTCGGCCCCTGGTCTCAGGCTGTGGTGTCATGCACCCCCAGACCCCCACAAGGCTACAGCAATCACAGTGACAGCAGCAAAGAAGCCTGGAGGGGCCTGGGGAGCCTGTTTTAGGGTGTGCCTGTTCTTCTTACAGAGCACCCAGCCCCTTGAGCTGCTGCAGGCTGGGGGCTCAGAGACTGACAAAAGGTTCCACTGTTCACCAGACTCCCCAGGAAGTCCAACAGCTGGGGCCAGAGATGCCATGAAAATTTGACTTTTATTATGTAACAATTGGGTCGTAGCATTTAAGATGTACATATGACCCTTCAGATGAGACCACAGCCCTGATCACCCCCTTGGTTTTAGCCTACAGAAGGCCCTAAGGCAGAGGGAAAGAGCTAAACCACACTCCAGACCCAAGTGAGATTTAAACATACATTGTTTTAAGCCATTGATATTGGGGTAGTTACTTGTGGAAGGTGGAGCCAGTGGGTATTTTGGCTGAGAAGCTGCTACACCCTGTGTGTTTGTCCTCTCAAAGCTCATGGTGAAATATGACCCCCAGTGTTGGAGATGGGGCCTGGAGGGAGGGTGCAAGTCTTGGGGCACATCCCTGGAGAGTGGCTTGGTCCATTGTCATCCTGGTCCGTCCTGGAGAATGAGCTCTTGTTCCATTAGTTCCCAGAGAGCTGATGGTTGAAAGGAGCCTAGCACCTCCTCCCTTGTGCACGTTGCCTGCCATCTCTGCACATGCTGCACACAGGGCTCCCTCTGCCTTCCACTGAGAGTGGAAGCAGCCTGAGGCCCTGCCCAGATGTATAATCCCTGAGCTAGAACTTTTCCAGGCATTAGAACTGTTAGCCACAGGAGCCTTTTTTCTTTTCTTTCTTTCTTTCTTTTTTTGAGACAGAGTTTTATTCTGTCACTCTTGGTAGAGTGCTGTGCCATCACAGCTCACAACCTCCAACTCTTGGGCTTAAGCGATTCTCTTGTCAAGTAGCTGCAACTACAGGCATCCACCACTATGCCCGGCTATTTTTTGTTGCAGTTGCCACTGCTGTTTTTTTTAGCTGGCTGGGGCTGGGTTCAAACAGGCCACCCTTGGTATATAGAGCCCATACCCTATGCCCTGAGCTACAGGCACCGCCCAGGAGCCGTTTTTCTTTATGAACTGCCCAACTTCAGGTGATCTTTGCAGCAGCACAAGTGGACAATGGTGGATGCTGAGGAAGACGCTGGGGTGCCCACCTCAGGCCCAGCAGGTGGAGCTGGCAGCAGCTGAGACTGGAGAAAGAGGGCTGCTGGCCAGGGACGTGATGTTGGCCATGTCACCTCAAGTCACTGGTTGGGCTCTCAGTGGGGGCTAGCAGGGATAGTCCTGGAAACCCTGGCACCTGTCAGAGCATTACATGTCCTCAGGAGCAGAACAGCTGCCACAGCCCCATGCCTGAGCCAGCGACACCTGTTGGTGAGAAGAGGAGGATAAGCCCACTGGGGAGACGGTGAATAAGTGGGAGAGGGAGATGCAGGTGGGCTGGGCAGGTGGCCAGGAGCTATGGGTAGGGGTGGTATGCATAAGAGAGCAGGGTCAGCAGCACTTGGGAAGAGAAGAGGAAAACCATACACTTGTATGTCAGGCACCACAATGGGACACTGAGGTCAGGGAGCTGGCCAGGGGTCTACTGAGGAGGCAGGATACCCAGGGAGCAGACCAGGCGGCAGACCACAGAGCAGGCAAGGATGGAGTTGGGGCTGCTGGGAGGGCAAAGGGATGAGTCCAGTGTGGCTATGGAGTCTGAGCTGGGTGGGGAATGTGGGAGGGCAGCGGGCAGGACCTCAGTGGGTTCCACCTCACTCCCGCAAGGAAGGCTGTCATGAAAAAATGAAGAACAGCAAGTGTCGGTGAGAACTTGGAGAAACTGGCCCCCTCTTGCACCACTGGTGGGAATGTGAAATGCTGTAGCTGCTGTGGACAACAGGCTGGTGGCTCCTCATGTGCTCGGTGTGCTCAGAGCCAGCGCATGTCTCAGTCGGGAAGTGTAAACTGATAGGAATTTATTGCTCAGGGTTCTCCAAGCCAGGAAGGTGAGTGCAGGACTGCAGGCAAGAGACTCACTGCTGCATCATTCATGGGGGCAGGTGGAAGGGTAGGAGACAGAAAGAGACAGACAGAGAGACTGAGACTGACAGGGGAGACACACCAGAAGGGGCTGTACTCCTGAGATGACAGCACTGATTCATTAGTGGGAGTGGTGCCCAGATGCCCCCTCCCCCGGACCCCACCTCCTCATACCTTCCGTTGGGAATCAAGTTATCAAGTTTCTAAACTTCAAGGGACATACTCAAATCATAGCACCAGACAACCCAGCACCCCACTTCTAGGTATGTACCCAGAACTGAGGCAGGTCTGAAGAGGAGCTTGTACACCATGTTCACGGCAGCAGCATTATAACAGCCAAAGGAGGGAGCAGCAGCACCTTTCAGCTGATGAATGGCTGGCAGAGCCATGTGTGTGCACAGTGGAATGTCACCCCACAAAGGAAAGAAATTCTGATACATGGGACATCAAGGATGAGCCTAGAAGACTTTGTGCTAAGTAAGATAAGCCAGATCCAGGGACAAATTGCCAACCTTACATGAGGTCTCCAAAGTCGTGGGACCCTTAGAGACAGAAGCTAGAATGGTGAATGCCAGGTGATGGCAGAGGGTTAGTGATTAATGGGTTCAAGGTTTCTGTTTAGGGTCATGAAAAAAGTTCTGGAAATAGCGCTAATGTCCTTAAGGCCACTGAATTATATGTTTAAAAATGGTTAAATGGCAGCTTTTATGTTATTTATATTTTACCATTATCCACGTTAAAAAAAACAGTGCAGCATTTCCACAATCCTGGTAAGAATAAACTGCCCATGCCTGTATGAGCATAGAAAAAGAAAGAACGGGATGATTTTAGAGATTCCACATAAAAACTCAATGCTCCAACACTTGCCTTAAAACTCACCTTGGAAGAGGCAGAGATGGGAAGATGGATTGTACAAGAGCTCTAGGCTAAAATGAGTTATGGTTGGGCCACTGCACTCCAGGCTGGGCAACAGAGTGTGACTCTGTTGAAAGCAAGAAAGGGAAGGAAAGAAGGATTAAAGTCTGAGCTCATTATGAAAAAACTCATAATGAGTTCAGAATTTAATCATTCTTTACTTCGAATGACAGAAAACACCATGACACGTTGAGAGAGGGACACATACTTTAGCACCTATGATGCCACATTTCCCTGTATGGTGAAGGCCCCAGAATCGCTCTTGTGCACTGAACACTGCAAATCCAGTAGCCGGGCCTGGAAGGGGAGGCAGGGAGGGTACACTGCCAACTACGACGGTGCCCGTGAGGCTCCCTGCCTTGGGAGGGTCTTCCCGATGATGTGGACTGACACAGTCCCTCTGTGTCAGGTTCCGGGCAGAGTGGCACTGGGGCAGGCCGCCATGGTGTCTTCACTTCTGCTCAACTGCATAAAGCATTTTATGCTCTTTTCTGAACATCTTATCCATTTAATAATTTAAATGTCAAAATAAGTGTATTTTTTTAAAGGGACGTTTCCTTGTGCATATCTCCCCTACCCTCAGAGGTTCCCCAGGGAGGCCATACACTCAAAGGTGTGTGTGGGACTCAGTTTTCCAACCAGCTCCGGGAACCCTGGCAGGGTCCAAGCTGCACCTTCCTATCCTGTCTGAACCACTCTGGGCTGCGATGTGGGAGCCTTCATGAGAGAAAGACATAAACTGCCTCAGTGATGCCTATCTGTGTCGACTGCACCTTCAAGTGACAGCGTTGTGGAGATACCAGGTTAAATAAACTCTGTCACCACAGTTCACTGGCTGCTTCTACTATTTTAGAGAGTTCCTGTCACTACAGCGCCAGGTCAGTGATCACACTTTCTTTTTCTTTTTCACTGTCTGCTCGGTCCAGCCCAGCGTCACACACCTTCCAGCCTGACCTATGAGCCCTCGGCTCACCCTGGCCTGCCCCTGGCACCCACCAGTCCCCCTAAGCAAGCAGAGGTCCCCACTTTCACCTAGGGGTCCACCAGTCCTGCAACCCCCAGCCTTGTCCACATGCTTTCTGGCCTCCCAGAGGAGGGAAGCCCTGGGCATCCACTCAGAATCCACCTTCACCTACCCTAGCCCTGCAGGCCCTGGGTAGGGCTGAGGTCCTGGCCCTCTGAGCTGCAGAGCCCATGACTGGGCCTGGGGGCAGCCTCCCACCTCCCAAACTGGACCAGGACAAGGCCTCCCAACAGATCTGCAGCTGGCCAGGCAAGTATTCCATTTCACAAATGAGAAGATAATCTGAGACCCGAACCACAGCTTCTCTGGGCTCCTCTGTGACCAGCAGGCTTCCTTCATGTGGAGCTCAGGCCCACTAAGGCATGGCAGGCAGGGACCCTTGGTGAGAATGACCAGATTTGGGATGTGTGTGAGTTTGGGATTTGGGGCTGGCTGTGAGACCATGGGCAGCTCAGTCCTGCATACCCACAAGCACACACAGGCCTGCATAGAGCTACGCACTCCTGGAACCCTATTTGTTATGCAAACGCCCCACACCCCACCCCCCTGCCGGCCTCCCAGGTGGATTCCAGCACTGTTACCTGTCCTGTGGGGTCCAGGCTTATTGGTCATGCAGACTCTCTCCTGCAGTGGGCAGGCAGCTGAGGGATGCCCCTCAACAGGGGGAGCTCAGCTCTAGACATTGGCAGGGCTAGGGGCTGCAGCCTAGGTGCCACTACCTAGCCCTACTCTTGGGAGTGCTGGTGCTGCCTTCCCTGTGGCTTCCTGGAACTCCAGTGGGGTGGGGACGAGCCCAAGCCTGCCCCTCCTTGACAGCTTCCAGGATAACGAGTCAAGAGGAAGGGCCCCTCAGCCCCGTGCCCACTCTGCCCCATAGGCCAGGCCGAAGCCCCTGCTAAAGTTCCTCTGCAGTCCCCACCAGTCCATGGAGCCAAGCCTGCCAGGGCTGTCTCCATGCAGGGCAGGCTCCAGAGGTGGGGCTGAGCCTGCTCCCTGCCCAGCCAGGGCCAGCCAGAGCAGAGATGCAGGACAGCCAGGCTGGCAGGGTGGGCCCCTGTTCCAGGTTTGGCTGGCCTCTGGGGCTAAGTATCACGTGGGGACACTGGCAGAGTGACAGAGCCGCAGTCTTGAAGGAGTGCCTGTGCCAGTGCCCTGCCCCATGCAGCCTGCAGGGCAGTGCCTAGGCGTCTGGAACCTGGTAAGAAATGCAAAGAAGTGAGCAGCTGGCAGCACCACATCCCACAGCAGATGCCCACCAGCAGATCTGGTCCCACCAGCTCCATATGGAAGCCCAGCCCTGGACTCCTCTCCTCACCACCCCTGCCCAGGCCCGAGGGAGAAGCCCATTTCTGTCTCTGCTCCCCAGGCCTGCTCTCAGTGCAGGTTGGTAAGGCAGGTGCTTCCCTCTTGTGGGCCCTGGCACCCCTTGCTGCTCTCATTCACTTCCCAGAGAGTGTCTGCACCCAAGAAGGGCCCTGACCTCTGTGCCAGGCCAGGTGGGCTCACGGAGCTGGGCTGGGCCCGTCCCCAGGGCAGAGGCAGAAGGATAGGCCAGGGGAGAGCACACTCCAGGCGCCGGATCTAGGCTGTGAGCCCTACAGGCCAACAGAGTCCTGGGATCTGGCTGGGCAGGTGGAAGGTCCAGCCAGGAATCCCTCCCCCAAGGGCTCCTTGAAGGCCTGGACCTGGCTGAGTGGCAATGGGGGTGGCCAGAGCCAGTTCCACACCTGGGCCGCCACTGGGATGGCACCACATGGAGGCCAGTGGAGGCCAGTAGGTGCCAGGGCTGTTGGCGGCGTGTGCCCTGGCCCTGCAGCTGTCCTCCCGCTGGCCCGGAGCCATGCAGCGTCCTGGGACACGGTGTGCCGCTGGGAACAGGGCGTGTATTTGCTTAGGGCACCTGGGAGCAGCCCTGGCAGGACAAGGGCCCATTGTGTCCCCAGCTGCCCCACGGGCCTGTCCACACCACCCCCACCTTATGACACTCCCACCTGCCCACTATGTCCACATTGCTCTGGTCCTGTTACACTGTCCCCCTCAACTCTACCCTGCAACCCCCTCACTCCGACCCCACTTGCCCAACACACCTTCTGACCCCACAGGCCTACCTTTGCCCACTTAACCTGTATGACAAATTGTTCTGCCCTGCCCACACCCTAGCCTGCCCCACCCATGTCCTGACACCCCTTGAACTGTGGGCCCCAGGTTCTTAGGGTGGCTAGATCTGGACTCCTTTTTTTGAGACAGAGTCATAAGCTGTTACCCTGGGTAGAGTGCTGTCGCATCACAGCTCATGACAACCTCCAACTTTTGGGCTCAAGCAATCCTCTTGCCTTAGTTTTTCTTCTTTATTCTTTTTTTTTAAGACAGTCTCATGTTGTTGCCTTCGGTAGAGGACTATGGCGTCATAGCTCACAGCAACCTAAAACTCTTGGGCTTAAGCGATTCTCTTGCCTCAGCCTCCTTAGTAGCTGGGACTATAGGTGCCTGCCACAATGCCCAGCTATTTTTTGGTTGCAGTTGTCATTGTTGTTTAGCAGGCCTGGGCCAGGCTTGAACCTGCCAGCTTCAGTGTATGTGTCTGGCGCCCTACTCACAGAACTATGGGCGCCAAGCCTTGCCTCAATTTTTCTATTTTTAGTAGACATAGGGTCTCACTTTTGCTCAGGCTGGTCTCAAACTTGTGAGCTCAAGCAATCCACCTGCCTCAGCCTCCCAAAGTGCTGGGATTACAGGCGTGAGCTGCCGCACCAGGCCAGATCTGGACTTCTCGCTCGCTGCCCTAGGTCTGTGTGCCGGACCAGGCAAGTTCAGGTTGGTCTCTGCCCTCAAGAGCAGACCCCTCAGCTTCAGGGGGCCGGGTCCCCTCTGGAGGGGCTGGGGCAGTGGGTGGGTGTGGAAGCCCCCAGGAGAGTCCAGGGGAGTTGAAGGTAGACACCGGCCCTAGGTGCCACCTTGGCTGACTTCAGGCTGGTGGACTCTGCACTATGGAATGGGGCTCTCAGGTCTGCCAATCCAGCAAGACATGGTACCTGGCCAAGGCACCCAGGGCCACATAGTCTATGTGGATCAAGTGTGGCTCAGGGTCCCCAGGCCATGACATGCTCAGCAGGCTCTTAGGCACCCTTGCATCCACATCCTGACAGACACAGACCCCACATGTGCACATGGTTGTCACCACTGCACTGCACACATGTTCCCCTAGCCCGGTAGCCCCCAGGCTCCAAGATAGGCAGGAGGGGTGCCTTCAACCACAGGAGAGTGTGGGACTCTGGGGTCTGGTCTGGGCTGGGCTGTGGGAGAGGTCAGGCTGATGAAAGGGTTCTCCCACCAGCTAGCTGAGGACCCTAGGAACTGATTCAACACCCACCTGGAGCTTCAGGAGTTCTGGGGTCGCTGCCCCACCGCTAGCTTCATGGTGCTGTGAGGGGTCTGTAGGCCACCTCTTCCCAGGCTCTATGGGCCAAAGGGTGCAGATTCAGTAGCAGCAGCTCAGGGGCAGCTGTGCTGCTGCCCGCACACGGCAGGCAGAGGTGGGTAGTGTCACCTCCATGGCCTCACCTGCCCACTCAGCCACATTTGGGATCTCTGTGGTCTTACACCAACTAGGGTCTGCCCTTTCCCACACCTACCCCACCCCACTTCGAGGCACCTCCACATGGCAGCTTCACAAATGCCCAGGTTGGACAGGAACACCCAGCTGGGAGTGATGAAACTGAGACCGCAGGTCACCAGAACAAAGGCTGGGGGGCTTGGAGGTGGTGAGGGCAGCGCCTGGTAGGCCTGGCTGCGTGGGCCCCTGTATAGGACAAGGGACAGTGGATAGAACCAGTCAGACCAGGTGCAACCCGTGTGCGTGTGTGCAGTTGTGCATACTTGCTCACGTTGTGTGTGGGGACAGGGCCCAGCCAAGAGGCATTTGGAACAGAGGCCACTGCCTGCGTCACGGGCACCATGACTGGGCAGGCAGCCCACCTACCTGAGGCCTGTTTGCCCAGCTGGGGGGTGGCACAGCAGGGCCTGCCCAGCCACGCCTTTAAGGCTGGGCCACAGGGGAGGGGCCTGTGACAGGCAGGCCAGGTTCAGCCAGAGCCATGCCCACCCCCACAGGTCAGAGGCTCAGAGATCCACCACCACACCCACCCCCAGCCCCTGAGCTCCCAATAAAGGGAGGTCAGATGGGGTGCCTCACTCTCATACGCCAGGGACTGCCATGGCCAAGCAGCCTAAAAGCAGCCCCTGCCCAGGAAAGCCACTGACTCACCTCTGCTGAGAGCCAGAGTCCGGCCAGGTGGGATTCCAGTATCCAGCCCAGCCCACTCCTAGGCTCTACCTCCAAGACTTAGCCACCTCCTGGCACTCTGGGATGCTGGTGCCTGTTCTTGGCCTGCAGCCTGCCTCCCTCTCCGCAATACCAAATCTCTCCACCAGACACCCACAGGGGCCCCACCTCTGCACAGCCTCCCAAGGCCACTCATCCTGCTCTCCTACAGCCACAAGGGGCCCCCTCTGCCTCCTTGAGCCTCAGTTTTCCCACCTGTGGGGATCAAGGGAGGACCTCACGGGAGGTGAGTCCCTGCATCTGCCCCCCAGCTTGGCCTGCACAGGATCCTACAGCTCCACCAAGGCCAGTCCAACCCAGCACACACTAACCCATCCTTGAGGTGGCACAGGAGATCTGGGGACAGGTAGGGGCCCTAGGCTGGGGTCCTCTACTGCGTGGCCATACCACCCTGGTCACCAAAAGAGACGTAGCCTCTGGTGAAGGGGCAGAAGCAGCGGGAGGCAGGCATGAGGCTTTTGGACCTGCCGTCTCCTGTAGCATCCTGCAAGGGTGGGGTGCCCACATAAGCCCCATTTTGCAGCTATGAACTGAGGCCAAAGGCTCTGCTTCTCCCCCTACAGGCAGTAGGGGGATGACCGAAGAGTTTGACAGTGCAGTGACATGTTCAGAAATGAGCTCCACGGGCTGCAGCAGTCATCAGGTGGAGGGGTGCAAAGGGTCCCCGGGGGCATTGAGCCATGGCAGGGCCTGGGACTGCGGCAGGGCCTGGAGGGCAGGACAGGTCAGGGCCAGGGCACAGGCTGGGTGGCCTATGTGAGCTTGGTTCTCTTGCTGCCTGAGGAGAGGCCTTAGCCCCAGGGTTCCAGAGCATCTGGGAGGGATCACAGGGCTGGGTCGAAACCCCAAAACAGTGCTGCGTGTCCCAGAAACCCCGAGTCAGCAGCTGCCCTCCTACTGCCTTCAGCACAGCCACTCTAGGAACGCCCAGACGAGGGTGTGGCAGAGACTATGACACCCGAAAGCAGAGATGGAGAGGTGGCACATGTGGGGGAGCCCAATGGCCCTCCCTCCTGCCCTCCTGGGCAGAAGGCCAGCATGGAGTCACCTGCTCCATACACATCACCCAGGGCTGTGGGTAAAGGACTGGGTGCTTCACAGTGGGGCCTGGGCCCTGAAACCACTTGCTCAAGTGGAGAGGTTTCTCCCAGCAGGAACAGCTAGGATAGAAAGCT